AAAGAGGAAGGCCAAAGAGGAGATATATGGATGCAGTGAGGGAGGACATGCAGATAGTTGGAGTCAGAGTAGAAGATGCAGAGAACAGGGAGAGATGGAAAACAATGATTCGCTGTGGCAACCCCTGAAAAAGGGACAAGCCGAAAGGATAAGAAGACAGGTATGTTAATACGTGTGCTGTTCACAAACACAAAAACCTCTCATTAAATGAAAATTAGGCCACAGTTAAATGGAGTCAGTGGAGTCCTCTCAGACTGAGGATGTGTGGGTAAAAAAGACAGAGGCTATTAGACAAATTAGGTCACTGACTCAGGAGCACACAGACAAAACAGCATGCACACTGCTGGTGATGGTGGTGATGCTCATGCTGACCGTTCTGGCATGTCTGAAGGGGTTGTACTCCTCCAGGCCTCCAGGAGGAGCAGACCTGGTCACCTGTATCACCGAAGGATCCTACAGAGGAGAGAAAGGTCAGGGGTTTGATTTTTAATATTCAAAGAACAGACAAAAAGCCAATCCCACCACTGATCATCTAAAGCCTGGTATATTTTGTTGATGTAACCAGTCACACCAGTAACATGTACATACAGTATATCATGTGTTAAAACAAGAAATACCTGGGATATATGCTCTCTTCAAAGTAATGCAAGTTTGTGAAAAGGTTCTTTATTTACCACCTTTAAAAAAACCCTACTGTAACGACAGAACAGATCATCTCACCTCTGACCACATATTGCTCATGTCATTAAGATTGCAATTGTTATTATTATGTATGACTAATATGACTACTAAAACTATAGTGTAACTAATCTTTTAAATTGACAGCTGTGGGTCATCTATTTTAAATGGAATGTCAAATGAACACAAAGGACAGAACTGTAACACTGTGGCACAGGTTGGAATACCATTCAGCTCCTAGTGGACGATAGTAGAGCTGACAATAGTTGTGCCAAGGGTAAAATAGTGACAAGGTAGTCTTTGGTGTCTCAGGACAGTCACCACAGTCCTCTAGAGACTTTTAGTACGTGTTTCGGGAGAGGTTTTTGAAAGGTTGCTGCACCACCTGATCCACAATCTCAAAAAGTCCCAGAAAACTGGTTAAAGGTATAGGGGTTGGACAATGAAACTGAAACTGGTGACCAAAGGTTTAGCTATAGCAGCCCGGCCATGTATATTGACCCTGTGGAGCTCCCGACAGACAGTTTTGGTGGAAACAGGAGAGCTGAGGTGCATATTTAATTCTGCAGTGAGTTAGGCAGCTGTGGTTTCTGGATACAATCCGGGTTAGTACCCAGACATCCCTTTCAGACAACTTCCTCTTGCGTCCACAGTTACTCCTGTTGGATGTGGTTCATCCTTCTTGGTGGTATGCTGACATTACCCTGGATGATTTGATACATCACAAAGACTTGCTGTCTTGGTCACAGATGCGCCACAGCAAGACGTGCATCAACAATTTGTCCTCTTTTGAACTCTGATATGCCACCCATAATGTTGTGTGCATTGCAATATTTTAAGCAAAACTGTGCCATTACTCCTGCTCTTACTGGTGCAATGTGCAATCAATGAAGTTTGGCCACCAAGCTGGTCAAATTTAGCCATGAAACCTCCAACACTAAATTGGTCAGTGTTTCAGTTTCATTGTCCAACCCCTGTAGATATTAAATACACAAAAGAACACCGATAATGGTAAATACTTGTGTTGTGAGGGGTTGTACCAACCGATCTGGGAATGGAGATCGTAAGATAAAGTTTTTTGACATATCTAAAGCTATCTGTCACCAAGGGAAGCTGACGGAGGATATTTCAACAGAAAGAAGGATGCTATGGCTTTCACATATTAACCGTGCTAATTTCAACCCAGATCCAAGCAAAAGGCATTACGAAGTCTGTTCTGAACACACAATTGGGTAATTACTTTACATTTTCATTTAATTCATATGTTCAATGTCAATAAAATTAAAATATATCAAAATGTACTTTGCATACATGACAAATGTACACAATGCAAATGTAAATCCTCAGCTGACCACAGTCCATATCATTATCAGTATTTTCTATGTACATGTATAATCAAACTATTTTTTTAATGAAGAAAGTAAAAAATACAGATTTTTTTGTGATTTTGAAAAAAGTATAATCTAATCAATAGTAATGTTGATGATGTTCACAAAAGGCATACATCTGTGCATGCCACTGTGATTTTTACATTAACGCGCTGTATTATTTGGGTGTTATACAGTGGTATGAAAAGGTTTGGGCACCCCTGATCATTTTCAAGATTTTCCTTTATGTATCATTGGTTGTTCGGAACAGCAATTTCAATTAAATATATCATATAGCAAACAAACACAGTGATATTTAAGAAGTGAAATGAAGTTAATAGGATTTACAGAAAGTGTGCAATAATTACTTAAACAA